TCACTGGATTGTCTGATCCAGACTTGATCATTGACATAACGTCGTCATATAGCAGGAATATTACTGAGTTCGGCGTTAAACAACAAACAAACAATGAAACAGAAAGTCCATAAACGTAGTCGACAGTTACGATACGGAACGGCCATCGACCAGCAGTACACCATCATGATTTAACGTGTCCCCCAGACCAAACAATTTATTCCATTTAACGTTGTATAGTGCCCTGAGTGTTTGTTACATAAAGCGTACATCTGTGCTTTTTACAAAATGGACGCTCGAAAGCTACCTTCAACATCCGGGTTTTTTCACTCTTGCTAAGTACTTCCGGCCTCGTCAAACACTTGGCGGCACCCTGCATAACACTTTACCCATGCGCCAACCTCATATATACACTTAAAAGAAAGTAGATATGAAATACAAATCCTAAAACCAAATATAAGAACAACAAAACGATGCTAGAAAGTTTATATCTGTAAAACATAACACCAAAACACACCCAACAGTAGCGCCATACACGTGCGTAATGTGTCATTCCTGATTTGGACACATTCAAGGAAGATCGACTAATCTCTGTGGATCATTATTTCTGTCAATCTGCTTATCATACAGTTGTGATTTACTTGAGATGTAATTCATTGTTTGTGTTTGAACGAGCGACGGGCGCATCTGCAGCGCATGGAGCGTCCACTGGCTATTGACATGCTAGAAACTAGCAGAAATCAGCGTGCAGTGGCCAAAACTTCCAACGTTTCACAGTCTGTGATTAGCAGTGATTATTTGTGGGATGTTTTTTCAATATCATCAAAACTTGATCCTCAGCAAACTTTGTGTAGTATCGCTCCGCTACCAAACGATAACCACTTCCTTGCATGTACAACAAGAAGAACTGTTATAATCCATTAGTCAATTCTGTAATCATTGATACTACAGCTTCAAAAAGCCAGTTATTAATACGGTTTCACAAATGTTGGTTGGTTGGTTGGTTGGTTGGTTTGATGTTTAACGTCGCACTCAGCAATATTACAGCTATATGACGGCGGTCGGTAAATAATCGAGTCTGGAACTGACAATCCAGTGATTGATATCATGAGCATCGATCCACGCAATTGGGATCGATGACATGCATCAACCAGCGAGCCTGACCACCCGATCCCGTTAGTCGCCTTTTACGACAAGCATAGTCGCCTTTTACGGCAAGCATGGGTTGCTGAAGACCTATTCTATCCCGGAATCTTCACGGGTCTTTTACAAATGTAAGTTACCTCTAACAGATACTGCATTTACATAGTCAACAGGGCAGGACATGCAGTCACAAGACTAATGAAATATCTAATTCAAAACGTCAACGCCAGAGAATAATCAGTCTCGAATATCTTTGTTTGTTTGTTTGTTTGTTTAACGCCGCACTGGGCAATAAGTAATCGAGTCTCAACCAGACAACCCAGTGATTGATATCATAAGCATCGATCCACGCAATTGGGATATGATGAAATGCATCAACCAAATCAGCGAGCCTCTCGAATATCTGCCGAATCAGATTTCATATGGCGTTAAAAGGAAAATATGGTGCAAATTATTTGAATGAATTAGTGACGACATCAGGTGTTCGTCAAAATGGTAAGCATGCAATGCTCTAACGTCAGTACCAGGTTGTATTTTGGGGTTTTGATTTTGTTTGTTTTTCCACGCGGCACTCAGCAATATTCCAGCCATGTGACTGTGCTCTGTGAACAGTTGAGTCTATAACGACAAGCATAGTCTCCTTTTACGGCAGGCCTGGGTTACTGAAGACCTTTTCTAAACCGGATCTTTAGGGGTTGTAAATTCCAGTGCGTAAATATGTGTGTAAAGTCCATGTAACGGTCACAGTATGGGACAGCATAACATAGCATGTTGACACGTGATGTATCATTTTTACTTAAATTTTAATTTGTCTGAATGTCTACCATATAATTTCTGTAAAAACGCAGTCACGGGGGCAATAACAATAATTTTGGATCAAAGTGAGCTCAGTGTTCCGTCCTACAAAGCCATTTTAGCGTTATGACTGTAATAAGTCTACGTTAAAGTATTGTGGTTACGATCGTCTTAACACTTAGATAGGTCCGTGGAACTGGCCTTGGTTAACACGCTTAAAGTTATTGGATGTCAGATAAGTCCTATTCTTTTGTACACAAATCAATCAATAGATTTGAGAGTATAGCGAAAACCCACTGACTGCCTTGTACAATCTCCTTTAGGAACTTTCACATAGGACCACAAAAACAACATGATATAGTTTATGGTGATTGGTTAATATGACCGATATCCAATGTATATCAACTCACTGGCTCGTAGTGCTGGATACTGGTGTAAAATATTATCAATGCATGATGACCCCTCCATAAAAAAGGGTACAACATGTTACTTTATTTAGATATAAAAAGTTGGCTTCAAATATACTGAACCGCAAAAGAAACGTCACCCCAAGTAACATTGCATGGACAGTTGTCATTTAAATACCTGGGTAATATTTGTCAAAGTTTCTAAAATTTAACATACCTTGTCCGGAAAAAATGAAATTTGATGATAAAAAAACAAAGCAGATGACAATAAAACCGATCGACCAAACGCATCACGGCAACGGCCATGGTAACCCGATGCACGTGAGTTCCATGCAAATTGAAATGCACATGTGTTCCCCTATTTCATGCCCTATATAAATACACCCAGATCCGAAAACATGCATTCGTTATTGAATTGCTACCACATGCCAAGATTGACAAGAAATCAGCGACACCAAGACCTTGGACGATTGCAAGCTGGACAAACCGCCCGGCAAGTAGCCAATGCATTTCAAGTCCACGTAAGGACCATATACAGGCTCCAGCAACGGTAAGGACCACCAACACCACAGATGACTGACCACGTACTGGAAGACCAAGGGTCACCAACCGACGTCAGGATCGTCAAATTGTGCGACAGCATCTTCAAGATCGCTTTGTTACTGCTGCGGAAACTGCTCGACTGGCCGTGCGTCGACGATTGACGAGCGGTACCTCAACTGTCACAGGCCACACCGAGGACCCATTCTGACACCACATCATCGCCAGTACCGTCTTCAGTGGGTAACACAGCACTAGCATTGGCGCCACCAGCAGTTGAGAAGAGTCCTCTTCACAGACGAGAGCCGTTACTGCATTTCAACAGCAGATAGCAGAGTGAGAGTCTAGCGACGCCGTGGGGAACGTTATTTGGATGCTTGTGTTGTTGAGAGAGACTCGTTGGGGGGTCCGAGAATCATGGTGTGGGGTCGAATTGGTCTTGCACAGAAGGTCGGCCCTGTGGTCTTCCAGAACATCGGTCCAGGGAGAGGCAATGGTGTCACAGTAGCTCGGTACATTGATCAAGTCTTGGGACCACACGCCATTCCTCATTTGGCACGTCGCCGCAACCACGAGTTGAAGCATGAAAACGCCCGTGCCAAAACTGCGAGAGCAACAAAAGACTTCCACCAGCAGAATGGCATCAGAACCATGCAGTGGCCTGTCCTCAATCACGATTTAAATCCCATTGAGCACCTGTGGGACGAGATTCAAGGACGGCTGAATGACGTCCGACCAAGGCCGACAACTACAGCTGAACTATGTCAGGCGTTCCTCAGAGTGTGCTCAAGTGCCTATGGCCTTCATCAACCGCCTCATCCATTCCATGTATCGACGTTGCACGGCAGTCATCAATGCACATGGCTGACACACGAGATACTGACTTGTGATGCCATTTTCTCAGAGACTAGTGTTGTGTTTCACTTTAAGAATATTTAACATTTTAATTTTAACCTTGATGATCAGTTTTGCCAAGTTTCATCTTTTTGATATGTCTCAAAGTATCATTACAGTGTTTGGACAAATACCAGGTGACGTTTCTTTTGCGGTTCGTATACTAGATATCTTCTTTTTTCTCATGGTTTTAATTTTATTTGAATGTCACAAACAGTTGGAGATAAAAACATGTTCAATAAGAACGTTAATGGATTGTGCTATTAATAGTTTGTGAGTGAGTACGGTTTTACGCCGCTTTTAGCAAAATTCCAGCAATATCACGGCGGGGGGACACCAGAAATGGGGTGCTAATAATGTTTTATCAAAATTGTATATCTGCTATTATAACAGTTCATGTTATAACCATTATAGATAATTTAAAAGTTTGTTAGAACCAGAAAAATATCTTTATGCAATTAGCGAATTATAGCTTCGAAATATTTTAGTGGAGTTTAGAGGTGGACTATTACGGTTGAGATAAAATGAATGTAGATGGCAAAAAAAATCGATATATGCATGAGAAACTGTCCTTTATGTCATCGAGGTATAGAGGACGAATTTCATTTGCTACTTGTATCTGCAACTTTTGATGCCAGCAGAAGTAAATATCTACCAAAGACATGTATAACTAATGTTAGTATGCATACATTTAAAACCATAATTGCCACAGACGATACAGAACAAAATAAAATCAACTTGCCTGTTTAATTATCATGCGTATGAAAGAAGAAAGTATTTGTTAAACAATGTTTCAAATTATGTATGTTGCCTCTACCATTCTTGTAAACTGTTATTTGTATATGGGCTTATGGCCTTCATACTGAATAAAGTATTGCTTGCTTGATTGATTGCTTGCTTGCTTGATTTATTGACTGATTGACTGATCTGCACATTTGATTGAATTCGTACAAACGATCAATGTTTTTGTCTGTTAACACAAATCTAAAATTGTAGAACAATTTTCGACAAACCATTGCCGCCATTAATCACAGTCATATAACAGGTTGATATACGACATATATTACAACGGTTAGGAATGAAAATGGTCTTTGAACAGTTGGGCGTAGTCTCTCTTTAAACGCCTGAAGTAAACACACAACACTATCAGTAGGACGCTAAAACGAATTCTGCTTTTAGAATACTTCTTGTTTCAATTTTCGTGAAAAAAGTTAATCATCTAAATTAAATTATATATCTTACCCGCTCCATTGAACAGAGTGTCTAACAGCGAGAGCCAGCATGAAAACTACCAATACACCCGCAGCCATTCTGAATGATCATTGGGGTGACGTGTTTGGGACTTTATACGCTCTAACAAGGAAGTTGGTTTGGTTGGTTGGTTGTTTAACGCCGCACTCAGCAATATTCCAGCTATATGACGGCAGTCTGTAAATAATCGAATCTGGAACTGACAATCCAGTGATTGATATCATGAGCATCTAACCACCCAATTGGGATCGATGACACGTATCAACCAAGTCAGCGAGCCTGACCACCCGATCCCGTTAGTCGCCGTTTACGACAAGGGTAGTCACGGCAAGCATGGGTTGCTGAAGACCTATTCTACCCAGGAATCTTCACCGGTCTAACAAGTACATTAGCATGATTTGTTATCTCAATCTTCGCAGTTCAACATGAGAACAGATCCTGTCATTTATACTAAAACCTTAACATGCTGTTTCATTTAAATAATTGATTCATGACGACGATGAGTATGCTGATGATGATGCTGTATGAAATAGTGTGTGTTTGTGCAGGGTGGGGGGTGGGGGTGGAGGGAGGCTATTATCCATATTATGAATCCGTGAAGGGGTCGGGTTGGGGGGTAGGGGGAGCAGCCGATCCTTGCCAATAACGTGTTTATATCATCGTGCGTTTAACCATATATCGTGAGTTGATATTTTCAGGACTTTCAAGATACCATATGTTCTACACATACATATATGTATGGAATATTAATTAAAGGAAACATGTTATGTAACTTCATTTGTTAATTATAATTAGTCATTTCCCATCACATCAGGAAATATGTACCTTCTAACACATGAGGTTGTTTAGTCCACAATGGCACCAAAGGGCGGAGGGCGGAGCACAGTGGGTTTTTTAACTTCCTGTGAAGCGACTTACCTTGTTTTGGAGGCGAACTCTTTTTATCCGATGAAAACGGTATCAAGTAAAAAGATAAGCTAAGAAGCCTAGTCGTTAAAGCGGCTCTTTCTCTCGCCTTGCGGTTAAAACACCTGGTCCACTCTGCCTTCTCAAATAAAATATGCCAATTAAAAGTGAGTTCAATCTTACTCCACTAACTTAATGTTTACTACATTGTGCTAAGAGTTAGAACTCTCTCTCTCTCTCTCTCTCTCTCTCTCTCTCTCTCCTCTCTCTCTCTCTCTCTCTCTCTCTCTCTCTCTCTCTCTCTCACCAATCCCACCCCCCACCCCTCTCTCTCTCTAAATTCGTTATAGCTCTCATTGTATCACCCGGGATATATGCGCCTCCGGCTCGTGGTATAATTCCTAACGCGGGACCAATAAAACCACCTATACCCCACATTATACTGCTTCCAGGTAAATTGTAAGTCACTTCGCTTCACATACAACATTCCTAGAAACCCACAGAAAGACACACACACCACGCTGAAGAGAGCCACGCCACGTCAAGATTTTCAATCAATACAAGTTTTGTTTGTTTGGTTTGTTGTTTAATACCGCACTCACCAATCTTCCAGCTATATGACACCGTCTGTAAATAATCGAGTCTGCACCAGACAATCCAGTGACTGATATCATGAGCATTGATCTACGTCATTTTGGATACGATGACATGCATCAACGAAGTCAGCGAGCCTGACCCTTCGACCCCGTTATAATTAGATGCCTCTTTCGACAAGCACAGTCGCCTTTTACGGCAAGCATTTTTTGCTAGAGACCCCGGATCTTCACGGGGCACAAATAATGCAAGACGATACTCGGATATTTTCGCGCTAAAGATCATCTGACAAGTAGAACAAATGTGTCATGGTCACGAAAACACGAACGCATTAATAAAAAAAGAACAATTACGTCGCGTTGGTTCGGAAAGTACATAACCTTAATGTTACGTACTACAGTGGTATCTGTGTCAACCGGACTGTGACTAATCCGGAAATTAATTGGTTACAAACATGGTGGAGAGAAAAACACATCAACGTGTAAGTGAATTGAATTTAAATTGTTTGGCTCTTTTCGGTAAAAGTTAACTGCCTGGTTTGAAGCAGTGACCGAAATATATCCTGCCTCAAAGAAAAATCACCTTTTTTATTAGTATTTCAGTTACGGTGGGGGTGAGGTGAAATGGGGTTTAACGTCGCGTCCAAGATTATTGCACTTATATAGCGACGTACGTGTGTGTGTGTGTGTGTGTGTGTGTGTGTGTGTGTGTGTGTGTCTGCTTGTACTAGTCCGGACTGATGCCGATTTGTAGCACACTGTTATACCATGCCGCAGTTTAACATGAATACCTCAACCAGACATACTGACTCCGAGCCGACCGGTCCTTGTTTTAGCCCCTTAATGCCGAGCGCCAGGCAGGGTAACAACAAGAACCATCTTTTAACGTCTTTTGATATGACGCGGCCGGGGTTCGAACACGGGACGTTCCGCTCTCCGGGCGGATGCTCTACCACACGACCACGGAGGCGGTCTGGTGTAGACAGCATCCGAGGTTGGAAAACAAGACTTGGACAGTATGCTGTTCACAGATGAGTCCGGGTTTCATCTGGGCCGCCCTCATGGGGTCGTGCAAGGGTCGACAGGGAACCAGGAGAACGTTCGACGCTTGCGTTACTCAACGTAAGCAGTTTGGGGGTGGAAGTGTCGTGGTATGGGGTGGCATCACAACTAATGGGAGAACACAACTCATCGTTGTTGATCGGCAATTTGAATGGCGTACGCTACAGTTACAACATCGTTCGAGATCATGTTCTATCCTTTGTGCAAATAGAGGGACGTAACGTCACGTTGCAGGACAACGCCGCCAACATGTTGCACATGTTCTCACACTCTTTATGGGGCAGCGTAACATTGTTGTATTGCCATGGCCGGCTGTTTCCCAGACCACTCCCTCATAGAACATGTCTGGGATGAGATAGAGGAGAGACGCCTACGACAGGATCAGAACCAGCCGGTAACGCTACTCAGTTGGACCAATCTTTAGGTAACATTTGGAACAACACCCGGTTGGCTGTTTTCAATCATCTTGTGTCATCAATGCGCTGCCGCTGCCTCGCCTGTGTCAACGCAAATGTGGGTCACACCCGATATTGACATTGTTAAGTGTGTTGTTACGCCATCCCTCTTTTAGGACGTGAACCTCGTGCATTGAACCTCGTCATTGACATCTCTGTTGTATTCGGGCGACCGTTTTCCGTTTACGGACTGGTTTACAAAGGTATTCATAGGTTTGAATGAGTGATGGGCGTGTGATGTTGATCCTGCTATCAACCACTGGTTTCCTGTTCCAGATTGGCTAATTTAAGGGCTGTAATGGAATATGACTGTCTGGCGTGAAACAACAACAGCTGACATTGACAGCATGAGACAACAAAAGCGCATCGATTGTTGCACCTTGTGACTGCAACGCCCCATACTGTCATGACCATATGCTATTTCTGGTGATTTATCTCACAGCTGATTGGGTCGAGTTGCGTGGCAAACTGACAATGTCCAATAGTCAATAGCAGAGTTGGTCGACCAACACAAGGAAGTTACTTTTCTACTGAAGGAACCAGGATATAGTTTTATTGACAGATTGAGTCAGATTTAAGTGTATTTATTGGATGAATCATTGACAATCAATTCGAAAGGTAGACAAAAATCGTCGTAGTTCATTTATATAAGGAATATTCTAGGAGATGGTTTCGCGTCGAATGTCGAATTTTTAAGAACTCTTTACCAGAGGTTAATTGCGAGAAAAGTCCAAACCGCGGCGCTGGACCTGAGGGTGCCGACATTTGATGTTGATGAACGGGTCGGATGGGGTTTCGGAGTGGATGGGTTTGAGGATCTGAGAATGTATAAAAAAAACAGCTTTAGCAAATCTCGGAAAGTTTTTCGTTTTGTTAATATATAAATGGGGAATGTTGGCTGAACATGTCTTAAAAACAATGTACAGTTGAGTACGGTTATAACGAACTCGAGGGGGCTACTAATTTGATTTCGTAATAACCGTAGTTCGTTATAAGCATACATACAGGATATATACAACAAATGGTCGGGACTAAAAGTAGGTTCCTTATATCCGTCAGTTCGTTATAAGCATGTTCGTTATAAACGTAGTTTACTGTAGTGTGAAAGAAATTGTTCGACTTTTTCTTTGTGAAAAAGGTAAGGGCACGGATTTGATACTGAAACATAGTCAGAGCGAATCATGGATTCGAACCCACGTTTATGATCAGTAGACACAGACATAACCCACGTAAATCTGCACAGCGGATAGCGGCACGTGAACCAACAGAACCACCTTTTCCGCAAATGTATTGTACAAGTGAATATATTATGGTTGGTTGGTTTGTTTTTTGACGCCGCACTCAGCAATATTCTAGCTATATGACTGGGGTCTGTAAATAATCGAGTTTGGACCAGACAATCCAGTGATTGATATCATGAGCATCGATCCACGCAATTGGGATCGATGACATGTATCAACCATGTCAGCGACCCTGACCACCCGATCCCGTTAGTCGCCTCCTAAGACAAGCATAGTCGCCTTTTACGGCAAGCATGGGTTGCTGAAGAACTAAGCTATCCCGGATCTTCACAGGTCGAATGTACCATGACCATATAGTGTACCGGTCACTTGATTCAAGGCATGCAACTGACAGCAGTGCCTTGTTAAAAAAATAGGACACGGGTAACCCAAACTATCAAGTTTCTTCCCAATTCACCCCTTCATAAGGTAAACAATATTTGATAACACCATATCTTACTGTGAGTAACTCACTCGACTATAAACAACGTGTATTCTTGAACGTTTGATAATAATATTTGAAAGATACTGGAAAATATTCCAAAGCAATATAAACAGAGTGTGTTATTCTTGTTAGTGTACTCTGTGGTGACTTGAATGATTCTATATGATTGTACTCTGTGGTGACGTGAATGATTCTGATTCATTGTACTCTGTGGTGACGTGAATGATTCTATTTCATTGTAATCTGTGGTGACTTGAATGATTCTGATTCATTGTACTCTGTGGTGACGTGAATGATTCTGATTCATTGTACTCTGTGGTGACGTGAATGATT